ATAAACTCCCAAATGGGAATCCGAAATCCAACATTGTAAGATTTTGGCAGTGTCGGCCGATGGATTTCTTCAGGCGGGTTGAATGGGCAGAGGACAGCTACTGAAGAAAATGAAAAAGCACTGGCACTAGTCTGGTACAAGTTCATAGCCTCACGGCCGCCCACCTCACCCTGTCTGACTCTGTGTGCCTCGTGTTTCCTCGCAGGATAAAATTGATCCCATGTCCCTGAAGGAGATGCTGGAAGGAATCCGGTGAGTCGCTGGTTCGGGAAAGTTTGACACTGAGGAATATTGTCCCCCTGTGTACGGTACTTACTGAGCGAACACTGAGGAATATTGTCACCCTGTGTACAGTACTTACTGGGCAAACACTGAGGAATATTATCACCCTGTGTACAGTACTTACTGGGCAAACACTGAGTAATATTGTCACCCTGTGTACAGTACTTACTGGGCGAACACTGAGGAATATTGTCACCCTGTGTACAGTACTTACTGAGCGAACACTGAGTAATATTATCACCTTGTGTACAGTACTTACTGAGCGAACACTGAGTAACACAGTCACCCTGTGTACAGTACTTACTGAGTGAACACTGAGTAACACAGTCACCCTGTGTACAGTACTTACTGAGCAAACACTGAGTAACACAGTCACCTTGTGTACAGTACTGACTGAGTGCACACTGAGGAATATTGTCACCCTGTGTACAGTACTTACTGAGCGAACACTGAGTAATATTGTCACCCTGTGTACAGTACTTACTGAGCGAACACTGAGTAACACAGTCACCCTGTGTACAGTACTTACTGAATGCACACTGAGGAATATTGTCACCCTGTGTACAGTACTTACTGAGTGCACACTGAGTAATATTATCACCCTGTGTACAGTACTGACTGAGTGCACACTGAGGAATACGGTCACTCTGCTGTATATATGATATATATAGAAAAACAGATGTTCTGACGAGCCCTCGCTCGCTGACTCTGCCAGACTGACCGCGGTCTCTCTTCCGATGGCAGGGAGAAGGCTGACGTCCCGCTGTCTGTCAGATCGCTGAAGTGAGTCTGCCCCGGTCGTCGCCACCCTTCCTCTCGAGCCGGGTCAGCGTACGGGCTGCATTCCACGCGGAGACGCAGGGAAACGCCTAACTCATCAGTATCAGTTCAGCAGGTGGCGGATCCCTGTTTTCAGGGTGATGTGCGTACAGTAATCCCAGTCCGACAAGTGATTGTGTCGGATGTCCACAGCGCTGTAAGTAGGGGGATACTGTGAAGCTAGTTTTACACTATAATCTGTTTCAGTCAGAAATACAAGGTGGCATGGCTTAGTGGCTAAGTCTCTGCACTCTCAGCTGGTGGGTTGTGGGTTCGAGATGCCTCTCTGGGCCCTGCTGTCGTACCTTAATTGAGGCGCTCTACCCCAGTTGCCCCAGTCCACCCAGCTGTATGAACGGGCACCAGCACCCTCGTCGTCCCTGTGATGGGCCGGTGCCCCAGCAGAAAGGGGGGACGAGCCCAGAGGGGGGAGTCACATGCTCTCCGCTCGCTAAAACGCCGTGGCAGCCACCATCAGCCCTGACTGAGCGATACCAGAGCCGATGAGCACGGCAGCACCGCCAAACGGGCCGATGAGAGCCGCCGACTTCGTTCGGATTTCTCAGGGATGTCGTGTCATACAAGTGACGAAGCTCAGGCGTCTGTGAAGCGGTAGTCTCTTTATTTACACATGCGTAAGGAAGACCGGCTTGCAACCAACCAGACTTAAAAAATGAGTAGCTGAAGATGGTCCTTTATACCTTAAAACCAAACGAGTTACACATTCTAAACAAATGAGAAGACGGCAACACCTGCCAATTAATTATATCTAAGTTGCAGACTGGACAACAGTTCTTTTCATGTTCTGGGCAGCTGACCAAGTACACGCCCCTTATCTTACTGACCGAGGACAGGCGGCATCTTTAGATATATTTGAGCGCAAAGCCTACTTGAAGACACTGGACTGCATAGTTGGCGAAAATATGAAAAACAAGACATTCTATTATCATCTCACTTCCAGGGCGTCTCTCTTAGCTCCTCAGGGATCTGTTTGTGCCGTTGAAAGTAGTGTCGCGAGATATAGCGCTGTCTTTATCAGGGTGTGTGATGTCACTACCCCTCCCCCTTAGAGGCACAGGAGGCCAAAACCGGTCTCAGTCATTAGTTATTATAATAATAATAATAACAACAACAACATAAGTTTATTAACCCTTTACAATTTCTTGCGTTAGGAATGATCTTTTCGCAGACCCCAACTTGCTCTCCAGGAGACACGCAGACAGGGAGAGAGAAGCTGGGGGTCAGAGCGCAGGGTCGGCCATTTATACGGCGCCCCTGGAGCAGTTGGGGTGAAGGGCCTCGCTCAGGGGCCCCAACGGAGTAGGATTCCTCTGCCGGC